GGGGAATGGGGGTCAGTCCAGCTGCATGTTGCACTGCTCGATGAGCTCGAAGAGGCTGAAGGAGTCGGAGAGCTGCAGGCTGATGGTGCCGCTGTCGAGGGAGGAGGCTCCCTCCCGCACCACCTGCTCGTACCAGTACTCGCAGAATTTGGGCACCAGCTGCGGCAGCAAATCGTCAGGGTTAGGGGCAGCTGCCTGGTGGGGCTGCAATGCCCCGCACTGCCCCATCCTCCTGGAGTGGAGGAAGGAGGGGTGCAGGGCACCCTGCATCTCCCCCAGCCTGGGGGGAGCTGCCTCCCACCCCATCCTGCCCCTTCCTGAGCCAGGCAGCTGACCCCTGTCGAGGGTGACCCTCCCTGGACTCCTGGCCCCCAAAGTTCCCCTCCCCAGGCACCTGCTCCCCCCATATTTCCCCTGCTCCCTAAGGATTCCCCTCCCTGGGCACCCAGCGCTGCCCCCAATCTCCCCAGTCTCCAAGGGTCCCCCTCCCCTGTCACTCAGTTGTCCCATCTCCCCCAGCCCTCAGGATATTCCGCCCCTCCTTGGGTACCCAGACCCCCATCTCCACTGGACACTAAGGGTCTCCCTCCTCAGGCACCCCAGATACTCACCTCCCCTGGCCCTGAGGGTCCCCCTCCCCAGACCCCGAGGAACTCCCATCTCCCCTGGGCCCAATGGTCCCCCTCCCTGGGCACCCAGACTCCATTCTCCCCCCAGACCCCAAGGGTCCCCCTCCTTGGGCTCCCAGACCCCTCCATCTCCCCCAGACCCCAAGGGTCCCCCTCCTCGGGCTCCCAGACCCCCATCTCCCCAGGCCCCCAAGAGGATCCCCCTCCCTGGGCAGCAGTAAGGCAGTGGTGGGTGTTGGCCCCTTCACCTTGACCAAGATGAGCTTGGACTCCTTGGGCTTGGCCTTGGAGAAGGACTGCCCAAAGCAGAGGTAGATGGTGAAGTCAGGGGACCGCTGCCTTTGGCCGTTGCGGAAGTCCCTCAGCTCTACAAGGGGAGACAGGACTCAGTTTTGGGGTGAGCCCAGGGGACACAGAGGGGCTCGGATACTTGTGACATCTTGGAGATGGCTCCCATGAGCCCCAAAACCAGGATGGCGGGGGGGATGGGGGAAAGACAACACCCCTGCCCACCTGTGCAAAACTCATTGAAGTCAAAGATGGGAGTTTCCTGGTCCCGGCAGAGCAGGTTGGGCGGGGGGTCCCCGACACCCTCGAGCTGCTGGGACAGGGCCCAGAAGACCTTGCACTTCTTCAAGCGGGTAGCGAAGAGCTTGCAGGTGCGTTGCTCCAGCTGCAGCCCCGCGCTGCCCAGCAGCTCCTCGGTGAAACGCCGCTGCTTGCCATCGGCCAGCTCGGCGGGGCTGGGGAAGC